TCATAATCCATTTTCATTATCCAAAGTAACTTTTGTTCAACACTTTCATTTTTTGAAGCACAAACGGTAGCATATTCAGATATTCTGTATTTCTGTAAAACGTTTTTATGTTGTCTGGAAAATTATTTTAATACTGTCCAATCCAGTCAGCTTACCCTGAGACGTTTACGACCTTTTGCTTTTTTAGCATCGATATGGAGTCATAGAGATATATATTCAACGCTGTGGCGTGGTTACCGTGAATGCAGTGGAAAAAGCTGCCCAAGACGAATTCTAATTTAGAGAATTATACGTACGGTTTACCTGTACTACATTTTTAATTTATAAGTCAAATGTAACCTAAAATGTTTGTAACAGCACAGGTATATGCTATTAACAATCGTCATTTAACTATAATAATAAATGTTTAAAAATTAATATGATCAAATCAGATGGATGATTACTATTTACTCCTTAATAATATGTCATGCTGGCAGCACAACTAGCACCATTAATAATCGTATATTGTACACACATATTGTTAGTGTTGGCATTACTGGGAGGCGGTCTTTTTAGGGGCGGCGTTTTGTCGATTTTTTGTCCGGCGACGTTTTGTCGACTTTTTGTCCGGCGACGTTATGTCGGGCGACGTACTGCGGTGTAACCACTATTATTGATTCCATACTATCTAAAATTTTATCGCCTAACGCGCGGACAGGTAAATGATATTACTTTAATTGTATCTGGGGTCGCATTTATATTATTTCTGTAGGAGTATATACACAGACATACAGAAGCACGAAGATAATGATTATTACTAGACATTAAAAATTACGAGTTTACTTACTTACTTTTGACAAATATAATAACAGCAGACTAGCAGTTATCGATGAAAATTTGATTATAACTATAGTAATAAATTAATACAATTTTAATATATAAAGATATTTTTTTGGTTTGTCAACGTTTTTCCGTTTACGTTGTATAGTACTTTATCCGAAGAATATTCCATAGAAATTTGGAACAAAATCGACTATTTTAAAAAAAGTAATATGTACATTTTTATGTGTTTTCCCAATTTTGAAGGGGAAGAAGTGAACTTTCAAAATTTTGCCCCAAGAAATAAACTTTTAGATTAGATTTAGATTTAGAACGGGAGGCACTTGTGACGGCCAACCCTTGTAGTCAGAACGATCGGCTGGTGGAAATAGTGATTGAATATTGTGAGAATAAACAATATAATCTCAACTATAATCGTTCATGCGTAGTTGCCGTTAAAATAGTGCAACTTTAATACAAATAACTCTATTATTGTTAGTTGTTACAATTCATAAATGTGAAATGTTTATAAAAATAGTTGAAAACATTTTGGTAAATATATTATTTTACTTATCAAATTAATCTGGATAGTTCATCATGACCCTCGGAGACAGTTTGGGATTAAAACTGTCATGGGTAGGAAAAATTCTGTTGCGGTGGCGTTTAATTTTACAAGTCAGTCACACGTTAGAAAACAGTATTTTATGGTGTTTAATTTTTTTTCCAAGACAGCCGCCAAAGGGTTAGAGATTTCTAATATATAAAGTAAATACATGAAGAAATCGGTTAACGGCATAGAAGATACGTCCAGACACAAAATACAAAAATAAATACAATTAAAAACACATCATTGTAAAAACAATACCTTCTCAACTACGCACCGAAGCTAAAACAAAAATTGTTTTTTGGTAAAATATGCCGTTCTTAAAAATATAATACATAAGGACTCGTTTTAATCATCAAGACATAATATTAGGTAATTCACGGAGCATGATCTAACCTCTCTCTGGATAGTTTTTTTTATTCAGCGAATTTAAATTCCCTTTATTCTTTATCCAGCGAGATAAGGGTTTTCTATACTTAGGTCAATACTTCCTAGTATACTTATTATTCATTATTATATGAAATATAAATCATATAAAATATGAATTGTGTGAGTATAAGACGACCTGCCGATGGACAACATCAACAACGCTAGTCGAATACTCGAATGACTAAAATCTAAATTGTAGAAAAACGATCATTTTTACAATTCAGTATAAATTGCAATGCTCTGCCAATGATCCTCGTTTTAATAGTATTTTGTTATACACCGTACATGACAAAATATCTAAAAATAATATCCTCATCTGCAATTTGCGGGTGTCATGCGACGACGACGATAGCGGTCGATAAGAAGTGTCACGCACTCGCAGGCACAAGTCAATAAACTGTTTGAAGCCACAAAATTTGAAATTGAAATTTCACTTTAATACATCATTCTACTTCAAACGTACTGTCCTTAAAAATACTTCGATTTAAATTTTTAAAAAACATTTGAATTCTTCACAACATTTTCAAGGCATCGGTCGTGGCACAATTTTAAAATTAATTTCAGTTAATTAATTATTTCAATGTAAAAAAATGCAATTTTTTTACTTTTTTAAACTGAAATAATTAATTAACTAAAAATAATTTTAAAATTGTGCCAAGACCGATGCCTTGAAAATGTTTTGAAGAATACAAATATTTTTTCAAAACTTAAATCGGCGTATTCTTAGGAACAGTACGTTTGAATTAGAATGAGTTGTTTTCGACTAAAAAAACGCAGGTGTAGAGGCCCCTTAAGGGGGAACATCCCAATGAGTTATCGACAAATTCCGTAGGAGCGCGCCACTATTATCGGTTGCAATAAAATAGTATAAATTGTACACGTACTGTCGTCGCACGTCGGCAACCGGCAACGTGCGACGGTCTGGTGCGATAAACAACAATGTTCTCAGTTTACAATACTATTGTCATATGCCTACCTACCTATCCGACCGATTATGAACCCATCGGCCGAATTTACGGTTAGGTACATATATACACCGTTCAAAATAAAAAGCGATCTCGGTGGCTATCTGAATGCCACGTGGAAAACCCGGTTTTCAGGTAGCCGCTGAAGTCGCTTGTTATTTTGAACAAGAATATACAAGATAATAATATTATTATTATTATTTATCATTTATATTATGAATGATATTAGAATTATTTGTTACTTCGTGACTAGGTCGTACTGTGTAGATTGCTATACTTAAATTTAGATACATTTTGCGTTTTTACCAAAACGAATGTTTAGGCATGTTATATGTCATTACCATTTGCGTCCCTGAAGTGAAACGTGAAAGCGGTAAAAGCGCAAAGTGTGGTTTTTTCTAAAAAATAACGGCAAACAAAAACATGGCCGACCATTTAAAAGCAAAAAAAAAAAAGCTCGAGACCCCAACTCATTGAAAGTTTAACTTATAATAGAATGCAAAAAAAATATTCTCTAGTCGTTCCAGAGACTTCTTCAAGTTCTCTAGAGATTCCTCTTTCTGTGGAAAATACAAATATGTAAGTATATCATTGCAGTAATAATAAGTATTTGTTTATTTGACCAATGATATATTATAATAAAATGCAAGCCAATAGAGGTATAATCTCCATTAGCATACATACTCTGTAATACAAAATATAATGAATTATCTATTAACCCATTTTCCAAAATTTAACCCCTAAGAGTGTAAAAAGAAAACGCGTATATTCAAAACAATAAAAACTCTCCGTTAGCTTGGATCAAATTAAAAAAAAAAGAGCATATTGCAAAACCCCGGCGAAGCCGGGCAACACAGCTAGTATACTATATTATAGTACATACTACAGATACACATATATATATATATATATATATATATATATATATATATAATAAAAAAAGTAAAATATGAAATTATCTCCTACTATTAGGTATAATTAGTAAATATTTTGTTCATGAGTCATAAGTCTTATTGCTTCCATTAGCAATCAAATATTCATATGGAAAATGTTATCATCTTATCAATTTTTCGTCCCAACGCGTCCGACCATCAGTGATGCCGACTTCTTGTCGGTATAGAGGTCTTATTCCCGTATAACCTTTTGGTTTTTTTCCGTTAATTAATTTCACCATTTCTTATGTCGAGTCATTAGTTTAAGCTATTAACGAATTATCGTTGTTTTACACTTTAAATTTGGCCAATGTCCATCACTCATCTGTATTTAGCGTCGGCGTCTACACAATGGTAATATAGATAAAAGATATTTTGTGTGCCGGACATGCCCGCACTGTAATAACACAACAAGCGACGCCTCAGTAAAATCATAATTTCACAATGTTGTTATTTACCAAACGACTCGACTGCTTAGTAGACGAGCCTTGAGTATTTAGGATAATAATTTAACTGCTAAATCCTTAGAAATTGGATCGAGTTTAATTTTGAATTTATTTTTAAGAGTTTGATATTAATTTTAACTTATAGTGCTCATCCGCCGTGTACGATAATGTCTGTGGATCCCTTCCGTTTCGATAAAAGTAAGTTACGATTACAGTCTCTTCTTTTTTTTTTTTTTTACTTTTATGTATTATTATTTTTTACCCGAGTAAACTAATAAGGTGATTCAAAATTGACGGTGATGAAATTTAAATACGAATGAGGACATTTTAGAGATATTGAAAGTAGGTAGCTAAATTAAATATTTTACATTGGATCTGCTGGACAAAATTAAGTAGAGTATATTTATCTAAGAGGTAGCATTAAGTTTGTATCTGTAGTAGCAATAATTAATGAGATTAGGGAATAGTTAATACAGGCAGGGGATACAACAGAGAACGAGGTCAAGAAAACAGCAGTAGCGTTTGATCTTATGAAAAGTGAACAAAGAGTAGCCATTATTTATAAAAAGTAGGTGAGTTTTGTTGAAAGTGAGTTAAGATGATATGAATTAGGTAATAACAAATATTGTTAAAATTTTGAGTAATATGCACTGATTGGATAGAAATCTAACAAAAAGAAAAGATTTTTGTGAGTAAATAAAAAACCAGAATGCTGCAACAACCATTTTTATACAAATATATGCAATATTTCTTTTCATTATAAATAAATAAAAATTTTAAAATCACAATTACGCCAAATTGATTTGAATCGTTTGTTATTTGACAGATGACATAGTGCTGTGTTACCACAGATCTATGCTATATGAAGCAAAGTGCTTAAAACGACGAATTGGACCTGACGGTGAATTGAACTACTACATTCATTACATAGGGTGGAAAACGAAATGGGATGAATGGGTACACGATGATCGTGTTTTGTCTGTAAATGAGTTTTCGCTTGACCACATGAAAGCACTCCAAGACCAACAGTAAATATGTGTTTTAATATTAATATTGTATCGAATGCAATTATTATGTCGTCAATTTTACCAATAATATTAATTTTTTTTGAGAGAGAGAGTGATTTTTAAATTTTCACATTATTTATAACATGAATCGATCAGTCTAATTAAATAAATACTTTTGTAATATTTTCAGCAAGTTTAAAAAACATTTTAACAAAGGAAGAGTTGGCAGACGTAAAAAAAATACTGAAGTAAACCAAACCACTGATGCTCCATCTTCGGCTACTGAAGAGTCTGGTAATTAATTGAAATTAAAAGTTTAAATTTTTTGACCTGAAACATTCCGGAAAAAAATCCAAATTTTACTAATTTACTTATTTATTTAAATAGAACCATCTTCTAATCCGGTTTTGGTTGCATTCAGAACTGTTGGTCTAATAGAAAATAACATTAATAACTTACCTGCCATACAAGAGTTTTTGGTAATATACCTTTTTATAATTAAATTATTATCTTAATAAATATTTTGTTTAACAGAAAATTGTTATTATAATCTTTAGAACATTGTTATGGCTGATAATTGATGTATGTGTTGAACGGATGTACGTATACAGCCAAACAGTTATTTATTTTGATTTTGACTTTGTCTGCAACAAAACTATTAATTTTTCTAGCCTCCATACGATAAACAACTAAAATTTGATGTGCCTACAATTCTGAAACGGCGATTGTCCTACGACTATAATATGATAAACGTTTTTAACAAGGTATTTAACAAGGTGTTTTAAACATTTTAATAATATTTGGTCACTTTGTTAATAAATTGTTTGCCTAATAATGGTGTGTAAAATATTTTAGCAATTAAAGTTTCCATCCAAATTCACTGTTATGCATCTCATTGATGGTTATATCGGTTCCAAACAAAAATCAACAATATTTGTTAGGTAATTATTGTTTTTCTTACAAAGTTAATAGTATAATAGTGTCGAAAATATAATAAGATATTTTTAGGGAAAGAGCTTTGTGTGTTGGATCGACTTTTATTCAATATTTTAATTCACGAATACAGACGCTGCTATATGCGAAAGAACGTAATAATGAAGTGCACAATAAAGTAAATTATTTTTCGTTGATGAGATTTTATGTAATGAGAATTTTTATTTAATAACTTTACCAATATTTTTCTTTTAGGCTGTTGCTCTGTTATCAGAAAAAATAAGACTTGACAGTTTACAATTCAAATATAAAAACATTTATTCGGAAGACTTGTGGTGTACAGTTTATGGACCCATTTATTTACTAAGGCTATGTGGTACGTATGAAATATTGACTTTGATGTTAGCGAAATGATGTTTTATTAATTCCTTATAAACGCGTTCAGGAGCTCATTTAGTGAAAAAGAACACCTTCCTTACACTCAACCGTTTTTGAAGTGTTTTTCCAAACATTGATAATAACATTTTATATGGTCTTACACGAAGTGCTATCCTAATAAACATAATTTTTTAGTGTTTTTGTAGTGTCCTAATTATATTTTTTATACATATACCTATGTGTATTTTAGTATTCGATACTTGATGACATATTAATGGATTTTAATCAATTTTTCAGTTAATTTGAAAAAATTTCTAAGACCAAAGTTTGTGACCGAAGACAACCAGCTCTCTTCCATTGCTGATAGCATAAATGATTTTTTCAAGTAAGAATTAAATTTTTTTTTTTAATTTAACGATCCATTTAGTTAAACTATTATATTTATTATGGTTTATATAAAATAATAATCAAATGAACTTGTTGGTTCATCTATGGTTATCATTTTTAATAATAAAAAAAAAAACGGAACACTATTTTGTCCAAACTTCTAAAGAAAGAGCTTCAATAAAAAATTGAAAATTACTTTTTGCACCTTTTGATAATAACAATTTTTATTATTATAAATAATATTTTGATCCATAAGTATTATTATTTTAAATTACTTTAATTTATTAATAAAAAAATCGTTTTAATTTCTTGTTTTGTATTAATAGTTCACTGACTAACTTTCAAGTTTCATTTTTTTTTATACAGTTCAATAAGTACATCTTTATTTTTTTTTTTGTAAAAATGAGTGGCAAGAATTAGAAATTTTCTTTTTTTTCTCATAGAAAAAGTCATATTTTTTTCTACCCAAAATTCTATTTTAGTTATTTTAAAATCTTTTTTTGAATAGTTATTTAAAAATAGTTAGCGTTTAATTCCACTACTTTCTCCACACTTTCGAAATCTAAATCAAAATTAATAATTATTGCTCTATTTTTATTAATATTTTGATAAGATAGCTGATAAAGAGAGAACCTAACCATATTCTAAGAACCGGACAAAAAGCGTCCAGTCGAAAGTCAGTTAGTGGGACAAGGGAATATTTAGCTCCAAAAAGGGACAATCCCATTTTTAACGAGACGTATGGTCACCCTAGGCTAAGTGAGAAGGTTAAGTGAGTGATAACTCGTGTTTTATCGTAGAGGGCCATGCGATTCAGTAGGAATTAGACAGAATATGTTGAGATAATTAGAGATATGATTTATTAGCAAAGATAACTTCTGCAATAGATTCATCGCTTTATGCAAGGTGTAAACAACAGAATGCGTTGAGGATGTATAGTACAGAGTTAGATAAATAAGATAAATGGTGGTAGGGTTGAAGCAACAATGTGAAGTAAGTGCTTACATTTTTAAAAACTGATCCGTAAAAAAGCCACATTTGTTTCAATCTCAACTTTAGTCAACAATCGACGAGCAATTCAAATTGAGCAGTCGTGTACGTAGGTATCGACTATAGTTTGATGGTAAATTGTTTAGTTATTTTTTCAAAAAATAAAAAAAACATTTGGGTCTAAAATATAATTTTATTCTTATGTTATGAAACATCAACACTGTTTTCTGACAACCTTTCTATAAAATGTCTTTGTTAAAATATTTGTTTTCAGGTACCTAGAACAGCAACATTCCAAATATTTTGCCAACGATGACTACGAACCTGCAACTGATACGAGCGAGACAGAAGTATCGTTAACATAATCTATTTTTCACATCACTAAAAATTCATCCTCTCAATTCTTAGTTTTCTTCCTATTTTGATATAAACTAAATTATTTGAGCAGTGAAGTATAATTTTATGTATTTTATAATGTGTTCAGAATTTATATTTGAATTTTTTTCTACGTCATCCATCGCACATTCAACTTTTTTCCTCTTTTTATCTTTTGACTTATCAATTTTTTTTTTTTTTTTATGACGTAACTGACGTTTGGTCGATAATGTACATCAATTTTTAGTCATAATATTATTTGTATTTTTACTAGTTGTCCAAATGTATATTTTTTCAGTCAATTATCTTTTTTGTATATTGTCATTATATTTTTTGTTCAATTTTATTCGTAAGCCAACTAATAATTATATTTTTACATCAATTATTGTCACTTGCTATTATTGAATGTGCCAATATTTTTCCTTTTTTAGTATAAGATAGTACCTACAGTTTGGTTAGATGTTCCTGAGTGGTACCAAAAATAAATAAATTGTATCCATACTCTTTTTAATCCCACCTTAATTTCTACTCTACGCTTGTACGAACGGTCCATCTGTTCAGGTCAAATTTATTAAAACGAGTTATTATTATTCTTTTAAGTAACTTTTATATTAATTGTATACAATACACCTTGTGTTATTTTTAAGTGATACTAGCAATTTTTTGTGTTGCATGATTTAATTGTATTTTTAAGCTTGTGTCAATACGAATGCCAAATAAAATATTTATTTACTTTTGTCTTAAAATTGTTTAAAACACTTTTTTTTAACTTGAGCAATTATTATAAACTATAATGATTTCCGATTTTATAAAGACGAATGTAGTAAAAAACATAATAGTTAAGGTTCGAATGATTTTTCATAAATATTAATTTATAGAAATAACGATTGATAAAATGAAATAAAATAACCAGTATACAGGTATTTTTATGAGTTATATGTGCAAGCATTTAGTGAAAAGATGGCAATATGTACTTTGAGTGATTACATGATTATAATAATTAAAGTATTGAACAAATTAAAAACAAAGTTAGATGTTTAGAGTTTGAATATTTGTTCCACACATAAATTGTCATTTATTGGTAAATAATCAAATATTTTTTAGACCTGGTTACTGAATGGCTTTAGGTGTTATTCTTTTTTTAAAATTAATGTGCTTTTATTTAAACAATATTACTGCACGACAATTACAGGTGTTAGGTCCTTATCGAGGCAAAAAATGTGTTTCCCTAATCCAAAGAAGTTTGATTTATGGACATAAAATTTTGATTCATTTAGAAAATCCACTCGCACACACATTAGATGATTTGGCATGGAGTGATTATAAAAAGTAGTTTTTCCAAATAGGCAATAGTTATTTAACTTTCAAATACAAAAACTTTATCTTCAAACAAAATCTGTAGTGTTACCCTATCAAATTGTTTATAGGGGGTTATCTTATGTATTTTATAGAGCAAGAATTAAAATGGGTACATTCATTTATTATTATTTTTTTTTGCTAAATCTGATTCGGGCCTTAGATTTTTTCAAGCACGTTTAGTTATTTTTCAAATAACCTCTAAAAATGTGAAATAAACCGCTTTGTGTATTATTTTTAGCATGTTCGATACGGTTGCATAATTATCTAAAATATACTTCAAATAGAGTATTTGTGTTTAGAACTAATCTAAAAATTACTTAACAGTTTTTACAATTTTTTTTTTTTAAACCAAAATAAAAATTTTAATTTTGTTTTTCACAAATAATTTTTTACAATACACAAATACACTTTTATTTTGTGTATTGTAGTTCAAAAATGTATATGCTAATGAAAATAGTAGGCCAATTTCGGATTCATTAAATAGGTATATCCTATTAAAGTAGTACTTTTTTCACTCTCAATTAAGACCGCTTTGGCTGGCATAACTTGAGCATTACAATCAATTTAGATCTTAAGAGAGACACTATTGTGACGGTCGTTCCTTTTGATGGTTCAATTTACATGGTTCAATGGGCTAGGCATATATATAGGTGTATCACAATGATCCGACAGCTTCGCATATAAATTGTATGAAAAATCTGTTAGATGACTGATACACCCTGTATACTATAAAGAGCCTGTCAATTAGTGTATTATTTAGATTGGGTCCTGTCCCTACATCCTGTCCTTGTACCTACGGTTTAACAAATGAGCCGTTTTATAATTCTACAATAGAACTTTGATGTATTATAAGTTAAAACGAGCAGTGGCGGTTCTGGCATTAAATTGTTAAGGAGGCAACAACTTTGTACCCTTATTGATAAAAAAAAGCGCAAAACCCCCAGACCTAAAATTTCTTCATACTAGTTTTGTTAGCGTACTTCCTTTTTTTAACTGTACCAGAAGGCTTTTGCTTATTTTCCTAGTTATTAGTTATAATCGCATTACCCGTCATCTATTAAAATAATTATCATTAAAATGTACTAACTTAAGATAAATGTTAAGTCGTAAAAACATACGTAAATACAATTTACAAAAGATGAAATTGTAATCGTAAAAGTTTTTGGATTTTGAAGTGACTAGTATCTTTCTAGTAAAAAATAATTCTTATTCAAGTTTAACAACATATTAAAATATTTAAAACAAATTTAATAAAGAAATCAATTAATAATTTTAAATAAAACAAATTGTAATAATAACATTTTTTTGGGCTAGTATCTTTCTAAAAAAAAATAATTTATATTAAAGTTTAACAACATATTAAAATAATCCCATCAAATTTAATAAAGAAATCAATTAATAATTTTAAATAAAACAAATTGTAATAATAACATTTTTTTTGGGCTAGTATCTTTCTAGTACCTAACAAAAAATGAAAAGTACAAATTTTAGTAGGGTAGAATTTAAATAATGAAATATGTTGAATTCAAATTTGGATGTATGAACTAGTATCTTTCTTGTAACAAAAAATTAAAAGAACAAATTTAAGAAAGATAAAATTTTAAACATATATGTTAAATGTATAAACTATGTTTTATATTTTAACTCAATATTTCTATCTTTTTATCAGCATATATATTAATGATATCTTCTTAAAATGGTTCATTTTCTTTCAGCTGTTGGATTAATAATTTTTCTATACTTATTGTAGACAGAGAACTTAAACGTTGTTGGGATGTACTATTCCTTAAATATGTTTTAATTCGTTTCAGGCAAGAGAAACTTCTTTCGACAGAAACACTAGTAGAAGGAATTGTTAATATTAGAGAAAATAGCTTATAAACTTCAGGCATAACTTCTTTTAAATAATCATTTTCAAAAATCTTAACCATGTCATAAATGTGTGATAGATTATGATATTTGACATCATTGTATAAGACTTCTAGTTCTACTTTTAATTTGTCCATATCTTGAAAAATATTAGAATATGCTTTTTTAAGATTTTCTAAAGCACTAGTGGGAAAATTACAAGAATAATCTTTAAATTTTGTAACATCAGCTAACTGTAAATAAATTAATTTATCAGTATCATTAAATCTAATACTTAACTGCATTAAAATATTATCAATAATTTCATAAAATAAAATTTTAAAACTTAATTCACTATTTGAATTATTTCTTGAAGCTTTGGGAAGTTTAGTTAAGGCCACTGCTTTGTTATATAAACTCAAAAAGTCTCGTTTCTTTTTTGTTTTATAAGATCACATGTAAAGTTTATTTTTCTCAAACAATATTCTATATCAAAATATTTATTTTGAAGAGTGTTAAATATATCTGTAATTAAAAATATGTCACTAAAAGTATGTGATAAAAATGCAAATTCAAAAGTATTCAATTGTTTTAAATGACCAACTGATCCACTAATAGTTTCAGATGGTGATTTAGGATTGTTTATAATAGTTTCAAAAACTGTTTTTAAGTTGTTCCACTCTTTAACTACTAAATGTAAAATCTTTGAACGCGATGCCCATCTAGTTTGAACAAACTGGGGAATGCGTTTCCCTATAATACTGTCAACTACATTAGTGCGAGATGTTGAATTATGAAAGAATGTACTTGTCATATTAGCGAAAAATATGCGACATTTTTGGTTATTACTACATCCATGTTGTAGTACTAAATTTAATTTATGTGCTAAAAAATGGGTAAATAAAGCATTAGGGGCAATTTCTTTTATCCGGGCTTGTAAGCCGTTTAAATTTCCAGCCATCACACTAGCACCATCATAGCACTGACCAACCAATTTGTTTTCAATACTGAACTCTTTTAAAAGGGAATTGATTAAATTAAATAATTTACCGTGTTCACTAATAACATCTACAACACTAACGGTGTTTTTTTCTAAATTTTTTAGATTTAAATAGTTATGAACATGATCTTTAGAAGCTTCGTGTCTTTGAATACTTCTTGAGATACTTTTAAAGTCACAGTAACCTGATGAGGTCCAAATAGAATTTGTTTGGCTCAATAAAATGCATGGCCAACAGAATAATTTTTGTAAATAAAAACTTCCACACAACCACGCATGTTTATTATACAAGTTTGAATTAAAAGAGCTACAAAACACTTTAGAACCTTTTTTGTCTGCAGACAAACATGTCAGAGGAGGAGTTGGTTTACCTTGCTTAATCAAATCGTTTTTGTCATTATTACTCCAACGCCTGTATGGATGTTGCTTAATAACTACTATACTGTCATATACAGAATTAATTTTGAACAAAAATAATGAAACTAATATGTATAAAAATATATTAACTAATAACTTATGAAAACTAAATAAAACGCCAAATAGGATGCCGGTATCAGAATCAAGTAAAAAATATAGTGATATCAAATTAGGAATGCTGATAAATGATTTAGTGAGAATGGAAAATGGCGTTTTGTTGTTGGCAGTGTCGGTGCTGATGAACATGCTGAATATCTATGCCCCCTTTCTGCCCCAAGACAAGAACGATCATCGGTCAATTGCCCACAAAGGCAATATTTTTGTGTCGCCTCTCGCAGAGAATTGCACATGCGCTATTCGTATTATGTTATGTATGTGTGTGTGTATGTTGTGAACACAACAACATAACGTGAGATACTAGCGGCGGCGACCAGCGGCAGCCGCCTCCGCCGGCTGCCCTTATGCCACGTGTGTAAAAACAGGCAGCGGACGGCGGCGGTTGTCACCGCCGATACGGA